CATGCGTGTCGATAGTGAGAGCCTTTCCACGCTCCTGGCCAAGGTTACCCTTACGACGTGCTACGGCATTCCGATAAAAGGTGAACCTGGCTACATCTCCGACGATGAAGCAGAGGAGATCGAAGGAACCACAGCGGCAACTGAGAAGCCCAAAGGGAAAGGCAAAGGGGAAGATGAACCCGACGTCCAAGCCATTAACTGGCGTGATTTGGACCCTTTGGGGCGGAAGTTCATTCCGCACCATACTGATCCCCGATTCACGATTATCGCTGAGGGGAATACGGCACTCCTTGATGCCCCTGATACGCCTGATGAGACGCGTAAGGAATTCAAGGAGTTCGTTCGCGATCACTCTGTCAAGATAAAGGAGTGGTTCGACGATGATCGCGCAACTGAGAAGACATTCTTCACTCTTGTTGAAGGCGTGAAGGGTCAGCTCCCCGATACTAAGAGTACTGACCCTGTTCTGATGAAAAGGAATGAAGATGTCTTCGAGGCTCTACCCGATGAACTGGAGGAGCCTCACAGAATGTTCGACGTCGCAGCTCGACAGGCACGACGGCGTGATGATACGCCTCAGCGCAGAGTGCATGCCACCGAGCAACGACAAGCGTCGATTCCCGAGGCTCATGCCGTCCCCGTTCCTCCGGATGATGAGGATGAGGATGATGCTGAGCTAGAACGGGTGATCCGACCCGGTCCGACGCCACAACGCACTGGACGAGAGCATCTAGGAGGTGTCGCTCCTGAGACGACTCCGCCCCCGCCTCGCGAAATGCCGCCGCCGTCAAATCCACCGAGTCGGAAGATGCCGAGACAGTCGGGCTACAATGTCCCCCACGCTGAAGGGGAGACACTGATGGTCTCAGGAAGGGCGCCCTACTCCGATCAAATGGGTCTGCCCTTGGTACTGCGAATGAAGACCCGGGTTCCGGAACCTGATCTGGACAACCCGACGATTGAAGGTATTATTCGCATGTATCATGCGCCGAACACGCTGCCTGTTGTCAGGAAGAAAGCCGCCAACGTCATCGTTTCAATGAATGCAAATCCCGATGACCCTATTAACATGAAGGCGGCTGGCGTGATTGCTCCCTCTGCCGCGGAAACAGGAGCGGGAAGAACCGCCTCGCCTGGAGGCACATCCGCTACCACGCAGGAGCGGATCAACCCCAAGTTCCCTGCACCGAGTGTTCGCACTGCTTCGAACCCACCTTCGAAGTCAGCCCGCGACGAGAAATGGGCTCCTTCGACTGTGCGACCGACGCCTGGTCGGGTGATTACAAGTGCAGAGGCACGGGGACGTCCACAACAGCGCGTTGTTGAGACCGCGGATATCGCAATTTCAGTCCCATCCGATTCCGCTTCGACTGAGCCACGATCTCGCACGATGGGCCCGGCCAAAGAAACAACGGCCAAGGGCAAATCCCGAACTGGCTCAAATGTGGCAGGCCTCATTAATGAAGCTGATGACACGAGGCAGCCGACGAAGGGCAAAGGAAAAGGGAAAGCCGAGAAAGGAAAAGGAAAGCAGGAGAAAGGCCGAGGGAATGGTGATAAGGGAAACAAAGGAAGGGGCGGTCCTGGACGAGGAAACAAGGACCGTATTTGTAGCCCCACAAATCGTAGGTAACGACCGTCGACCTACGTGGCGACGTATTGTGTCACTGGAAGGTGAATCCGGTTGAGTCTTTCTGACCCATGTTCCACACGTCAATTGGGTCAGGCGGATTCTGATGGTGAAACCCAGCTATGATACAATTTCCGCTACTTCCTCAGCTTTCCTTGCCTGCGCCGCGCTGAGAAGACCCACAGGGGTACAATGGCTAACCATGGTATTAAAACCCGCATAGATCCGATGGAACATCCGATTGCCAACGATCACACGGCAATTCGCTATGCGCCTGACGATCACAAAAGGCTGCGTTTGTACAGCAGTGAAACATAGGTATGATCCAGATACAGAGACCGACCCACATCTAATGGTTCTTAATCGCTTCAAGCTTAGCTGACTGGAAGAGGTGTGGCTCGGTGCACAATCAGTGGATGTGACTCTCCTAAACTCCGCTCTTCTCACGCGTGAGCTCGCGTCGAGGGGGTGTGATTTGTCACAGACATGCGTACATGTGCTTCTGTCTTTTGGTTAGGATTCACGCCAACTTTGTCTCACTACGCAGCTTGACTGCTCAAGGACCGCATGCGCGAGTCCCAGCAAAAGATCCGCTAGAGCCTGGGGGTTCTGGTGTTGTCTTTCCGCTGAGCGTCAATCTTACGGTTTTAATCTCTGATTGTCCTGCTTTGCACCGCTTGCCTTGCTTTGATCTGCAATCGGTTGCCTTGGGCTTTGTGACCGAGAGTTGAGTGGAATCCTCCGCTTTTCACAGAATCTATAAAGACCTCAGAGACTTACTGCGTATAGAAAAGTCGATATCTGAGATTACAGCTCACAAAGATAATAAACTATTTATGACTGACACAACATCATATGACGAGACCTTGCATTAACATACATTCGACGGATGCGAACTCACGACACAACCACTGCCTGAGCAATGCCAGGTGGACAACCTGTTGAAGGGTCTGTCGTATTCAAGCGATAACAACAATGTTTGACGTCGCATATGATGTGGTAGCATATGCGAGGACATATGGTCGGTATATATGTTGGATGTCAGATACATGTATGAGCAGTCTCCTCGATAACATATACAACAAACACTGTCTTCGCCTTTCATTGGCAGGTTGCGATGTAAAGGATCCGAATCCAACTATCTTATAGGTGCATGCAAACGGGAGTTTGAATATTCCACTTGTGCGATGTTCGAGCAACATGGTGGGCTCTGTCGGGGAGTTTACAACTGGAAATCCTTATTGATTTATGTTCCTGTGATCAGGATCGGCTACTCGCAGGAATCTGAATATCATTATACCAAAACTGGCTAGATATGGAAACAATATATCTCATGAGCACGTCATGGTGAAGTAGCAATCTTCACGTAAACCATGTGCATCATAGTATGATATGGCGTAACACACTCGTAAACATGTAGCATGAAGTGCTACGGAGTTGCCATGCGAGCCTGGCAAGCTCATGGGATGCACAAGGACATCTACGTCAAATCTCATAGAGAAGATATGTGTTATGAGATGCTGCCTGCATCTTGCCTCCTATTCATACCTAGCTGTGATTGTTGTAACTTCATGCGAGATTGGGTTTATGTGTGAGAATAAGTCTCCGGGCCTTTAGAAAGGTCTACCGAGGGGTTTAACCAATATGTGGTGCAATCCCGCTTGCCCGCGCGGCCGGAAGGCGTAAAGGGGGAAGCCCGAACGATGCGGGCATCTTATAAGAACACTTACTGCGATGGTTTATACAGATGGCTCAAAAACATAATGATATGTTGAAGAGATTTCCTGGTGCTCTATGTTGATATGGCCATATTCAACACATAACATGCCTTTTACATTGAAGGAATGCGGCGAATATCTTGTTCAACTGCCGGTTGGGTGCCTCATTATGACGGCCCCATTACTCTTGCCAAAACTGGCATGCAGCTGCCAATGTACTCTGCCATGTTTACTTCCACCACAAGAGATACTTTAGTTTACGGAGATATCCATAAGACACACGATGAACTGCGTCATGGGCTTTAACAAGACCTTATTAGAATGGTTGCGGCATACAGGTGCGTTGCCTGCAGCATAGATATAACAAGCGGTATTGTTTACAACTGATGACAATCGTATGTGTGTGTCGGTGCATGTTTGTGTGTGCATGTGCAGATAATAGGTTTCCACGGCAGTCAACTTATGACTAGATGGTATGAGCAACAAGACAGCGAAAATGATTAATATCGCAGGTGGATCTCCATATGTCTTCATATACAATAATGATAGCAAAGCACCATCTCCTTGAAAAGTATACTAACTCAATTATATCCTTATCCTTTGGGGGCTTGTGGGCTTCAGCCGCAATGATCACTAATCTGGATAAGCCAGCATTGTAGCTGTCAGGATGTATACAGCAACATCCATGCGATGATTGTCTTTGAAAGTCGTAGGTTTTCAGTTATCTGGGTTGGCTTCTGTGAGAAGCTGTTGCAATTGAAATACACAATTCCGCACACACAGCTCCAAATACTGAACAAATTATTGGACTGGGAGCTCCGAAACAAGGACAACCAATGCAATAATAATCGCAAACAATAAATACGCCTTTGAAGGAGGTTGCACTAAACAAGCTAGCATTCATATGAAAAACGGTATCGAAACTGAATGTAGCAAAGACATATATGTACATATGTGTATATATGTACATATGCAAATGGATCCGGTAACACGATCCAATTGATCGCCTGCATGTATATAGCTTGAGACGGTGGGAACTGTTTGAGCAACCTGCCTGTATGATGCCAAACCCAACTTGTCATGCTACAGTATATGCTGGACGTCTATATCCAAAATCATATGCTACCATGCACATGATGGGGCCTGCAAAAAACGGTGGGATATGTAAGCGATTATTTACGTTGATATGCAAAAGTTATATGGATTGACCGGTCTTGTACATCATTCAAGGGTGGAGAAATGCACGGTTTCGCAGATGCATTTTATCTCATTTATCTGCAAGATTAGACTATGACACACAAAGAACAACCACAAGATTGAAGTGGCATTGATTTAGCGGATACTGTAGTCTTCATGAGAATCCACAATGAAAGGTAGTCACAAGTGCATCCCATGCTGATTGGGAAAGGACTTCCCATATCAGGCATCAAGAGCAACAGGGTTCAGTAAGCTTGAAAACCACTAGTATGCAAACTATGACGATTGTAAGTTTTTGGGAAAACTCATAGAAAACAGCATTTTGAGTGGAAAATATGGGGCCCGTAATGTCTTACACTCGCAATATTTAACATTTCGGACGTGCATATTTTTTGCAGTCGTATCTTTCATGCTGCTCGGTATCACGGTGGAACTCGGCTGGGTTGTTGATCAAGGCCTTCTTCTATTTCGACGCTTTTCCGCTCCATTTCGAATGGCATGGATTGGGGTACTGCCGCAGATAGCCTCACAGCGATTGACCCAATCTGGGCACAACTGTTCAACTTTTATATTGCATTCATAAGTTTCGCAGTGTTAAATGCCACTTGGATTCAATGCAGGGCATGCAAGATTGCATGTTCTAACGGTCTTGTTCCGCATTGCTTCTTGTAGGGTCGGTGCGGCCTTTGCCAGTTCCTTGTAAGCTTTGTTCGTTGGGCCGTCGCAAAAGAAGCGAGAGAGCAAAAAAGGTGATGACTGGCGTCTTTTGTAATTCAGCCATAAAGGCTGCCGAGCGTGATCACGAGATGGTCATCCACTCGCTATTGCAGAGCCGGAAGGAATTCAAAGATTTGGTGTCGAATCTTTTCCAAAAGATAGATGACCTGGGCCTTGGGATGATCACAATTTCTGAGTTCGAACGGCATTTCAACGACGATTCCGTGCGGGCCTTCTTTGAGTCGCTGGAAATGGGCGCTGTTGACGCATGGACCCTATTCGCAAGCTTGGATGCCGACGGCGACAATGTCATCAGCTTAAAAGACTTTACCGAGCGATGCATTCAGCTACATGGTCCTGCAAGATCAGTCGATCTGTATGCGTTGACGCAGCAGAACGTCACTTGATTTCAGGTTAGACATGTTCTCTTGCTGCATCTTGACAATGTCATGGGCAATTTAATGTTAGTCTATCAAGCAACTCGATAAGAATAGTCGCGCCAATACAAAATCACATCTTGCCAAGCGTTACCACAAAGACTTGTTGCTTTTGAGGTCAAGCTTCGACAGCAGCTGCAAGCTATTGAATCTTGGGACGACTAGCCACCTTGCTGTTGGCTCCTAATGCTGACTTGTGCAAACGGTTGCTTTCAGACTTGTGAGCAGATGTTCTCCGACTTGCAGCACCGCAACCCTTCGTCGGCTGTTTCATTAATTCGAAGCCAATTCAGGAAGACCTCCAGCTTCAACTTGATGATTACGTCCGTTCGCGGCCGCGACTGCGCGAGGGCTTGTTGGGCTCCTCAAAGGAGGAAATCACTGCCCAATACAGCTTCCCAAAAATCGCATATCCAACGAACTGTTAGTTAACTTGACGTGGCAGTTGCGGAGCAGCGTCAGGAGATGCAGCCGGCAGTGTCGGACTTTCGAGATGCGGATGGGACACATTGTCGAGTATGACCTCATTGTAATGCGATTTTTCGATGCATTTAACAGTGTTTCAACTTATCTGCGAGGGCTTCTAGAGGTAGAACTATGCGAGCTTTAATTCGGCTTTTTATAAGAGCCTGTGCCAAGTGTGAGATCTCATAGCAACAGTCCTGGTAATCTTGAGCGAAGTGCATGTGAAGGTCACCTCGCTCTGAATGCAGCGGCTGACGAACACACTGACGGTTCAGAAGCTTATTGCTAATGACATTGGTGGTTGATAATCGCCACTCTGTGCCAAGCTGATGCCGACTTCTTGAGGCTTTAGTCATGTCGTGTCGTGGTGTCAAAGTGCAGGAGTGTGCAGGATCATTGATTGAACACGATTGAACTTGAATGTGTCGGCGTAGTACACCTCCCTACCGTCGAAGACATCGGCTAGAGGTCTCTCGACCGTCATTTTCGTTTCAACCCTTCGGAAAATGTTCTGCCATGGCTGCTGCGCAGCCCCGCAGGCCAATCTCAGGAGTACCTGCCAAGCAGAGTGCTGTGTGGATTTGCTGGGGTTTCTGGGTCCGCCCTTATGCAGCCACAAGGTCACGTCTCTACTTCGCCTACAGCAGATGCAAGTACAAGGGTGTTGTGCGGACACAGATCTGCCCCCGCTTTCAATCTCCGATTGGATTGTAATTTCCGTGCGATGTTGCTCAAAAGCAGCAACGAAGTCCAAGGTCTGTCACAAGTTCCGGGCATGCTCACTGCAGGAGTGCTGATGCAGGTCGCGGTGGCGGTGGTGGCGGTGGTGGTGGTGGTGGTGGTGGTATGTTTTGCTAGTTGTTTTGCTGTCGGTGGTTGTGGTGGCGACGGTGGTGATGTGGGTAGTGCCTTTGGAGGTGGCGGTGACTTTGGTTGTGCAGGTGCATACGTCTTTCGTTGTCGTTGCTGCCGCCTATGCCAGCATCGTAGCAGACGTGCGAAGCAACAGCACTGAGGCAGTTTCGCTTTGCTTGTGTCCATCGCGACTACCATGTTAACTGCTGTTTCATTGGGCGGCTTGCAGGCTGCATCACATAGTAACATGAGAATCCCATTTTTTCAATCACCCTCGAACTGTAGCCGACATCATACGAGCATTCCTTTCCGAATCCAGTTGATCGCTTGCTTGTGCATGACGGAGTCATGACGGAGCTGGCCTTGGAGGCTGTGCGTCAGGCGCCTTTTGGCCTTTTTGCTTTGTCTGACTGGCACCTGTTCGCATATTCTGACGACAGACCACTGCGAGTCTGTGACCATACCATACCTGTCTGTGCTTAGTCACATTGTTTGGAGGGATCCTGACCACAACATACGAACAGCAAGGCAGTCCGCAAGCAAGAAACGCAGCCGTAAAGGTAGTGCAGCAGGGAGGAGGCTGTTGATCCACACAATCGGCCGAGACAGGCTCAGCATATGACAAGCAACCTGCACTTGACATCACTTGACCCTTTGAGCAGCACCAGCATTTGCACTTGTAACATTCACGGCAGTAGTAGCGGCAGTGCAGGGTGAGGTTACGCAGCGCATCATCGACCTAGGTTTGGCCATTCAATTGAAGCGGAATGTAAAAAGTACAAGTCATCTATGAACAGTGTTGCAGAAAGAACAAAGCTCTTGGTGGGAAGTTCCTACCACTATAGCTACAGTAGCCTGAAAACCATTGAGCATAGGGAGACCTCAGCGAAAGCACCAGTACATTTCCAGGCGCACATGGTCGAAAACCCGCAATCGAGAATGAGCACATGAAGAGGGTAGGAACGACACCGTCAAAGAGCTGACTGAAGAAATACAAAAATGATGCGTTAAAGAGGATAAGCAGATGCTATTTTGAACTGCGTGAGGTACATCGTAGATCAGAAGGAGAAATGGAAAGGAATTAAAGGAATGAAGAATGACAGTATTCCACACTTCATACACATGAAAGACATGCATGGGATATTTGTTGCACCGAAAGACAGTGGGTAGACTATTGCGAATTATGTGGAAGAAAAGCATTGGCATAACGCAAACACACCATCCATCGAAAGGAAAGGAAACTTTAATTTTTAGAAGGTGCATTCAACGTAGATTGTTTCAGTTGTGACGAGTTTGAAGCACCTTTAATTATTATGAAGAACAGTAAACAACCGGGACCAGACGGTCTTACAATGGAAATGTTTAAATGGATGAGTAAGCAAAACCGCACTCGTATTCAAGACATAATAAATGGTTGGTGGTCCACATCACAGATCCCTCAAGATGCTTGCTTGGCTCGTGTTGTGCCATTGTACGAGAAAGGGGATACCGATCTACCATCAAATTCTCGACCTACTTCACTTCTCAATTCTGTTTCCGCAGTATACATGCGATTGATCCGGAATCATTTGCAGGTCGTGCTTGACCCCACGTTATCTGCTACTCAATATGGTTTTAGACCTTCTCGAAGCACCTCTTACGCTATTTCGTTTACAACAAGCGCACAAGACATCGCAGAGCAGCAGGGGACTAACTCAATCATCACGCTACTCGATTGGGAGACAGCTTTTGACAGGATTCAACATGACAGAATGGCAAAAGCTTTGGAACGTATAGGTGTCCATCAGCACTTTATCGATGTCCTCACAGACTGTTACAAAAATCCAAAGTTCTATGTAGAAGATGAATATGGCAAGTCCAGTTCTAAAGTTCAGAGTTCAGGTATCAGACATGGCTGTCACCTCTTTCACCGTGCTTGTATCTGTTTGTTCTGGTCATGAGCGTTATTGATCATGATATTATGCTGACGATACGCTCATAATCACTACATGCACGCAAGCATGTAATGCCCTATTGCACGAAATAGAAAAGGTATCAGCTCCATTTGGGCTAAGATTGAACAGAGCAGACTTTCTTATATTGCAATGAACAGTAACAATATCATTAAGTTCGCAGATGGCACAAGATCAAAAAGGGTGAGTAAGGCAGCTTATCTAGGACATCAAATTACCCGGGCTATGGACATCAGGCATGAAATCAACCATAAACTGCATCAAACTCTCAAGTTGTGGTTCAAGCTGAGCGCTTTCTGGAAATCCGTCATTTGCCCAAAGCATTGGAAACCACACGTGATGATGCTTTCATGCCATGCAGGAAAAGTTAACGCTTTCCAGCCGCGAGGCTTACGGAAGGTTTTCGGAACGGATACCACTTATGTAAACAGAACAAATACATATGCAACTGTCAATGAGAGAGCTACTGCAGAAACAGGTGAGCAAGAAAAGGTAAAACTCTTTTCAGAGATGTTGCTGGAAAAACGCGGGAAGCTGGCTGGACACATTATGTGTGTGCGCCAGCAAGACCCTTTGCGCCAAATAGGTTACCAGCCAGATTCGGCACAGATTTTCCACATGGGCAAGAGGAGAGTAGGGGGACCTAGGCAAAATTGGTTGTTCTACACGAACAAGTTCATTGGGGAATCATACATGGCTCGTCCCTTTGCTCCTTATGAAAACACAAACAGGCAAAATCAATACATATATGAGGACGCAGTCAACCTCCATTTTTTAAGGCGCCCCACGTGCCCACAGTCTCACCATCATGCCAAGAGAGGCAGGAGACTATGGCAATCAAAAACAAAGTAGGGTAGTAGCAGTACTAGGACTAGGACTAGGAGTGGTAGCAGCCGTGGCGGGAGAACTATATATAGCAGTCGCACTAGAATTGGTGGTGGTGGTGGTGGTGGTCATAGTCACAGAGTCATAGTCCTTGTCATAGTCATAATTATAATCATCGTCGTAGTACTAGTAGTAGTAGAGGTGATAGATACAGCAACAGTAGCAGTAGTATTAGTAGTAATAAGAACAGCCGCTCGATTTCAAAACGGATTCTGTTTGCTCTGCAACTCTGCATGGCGTGCATACCGGTTGTTTCTCCGTCAAGAACATAGCAGAGAGTTCCTCCGCTGCTGGATAAGCAGTGTTTCTCTCCCGTAAGAAAGAAGAGATCTCTTTTCTCAGTGGAACATCTTCATTCACCACAGACAAACGTAAATTTTCTCTTCATCCACGTCAGTGGCCAGAAGAACAAGAGATCCTACATTCCGTCAAGGACCACACAAAGTTTTGTCTTTCCTATCCGTGGAAGAATAAGAGAGTTTGCTGGTATCTCTTGATGCTGCGTAGAAAAGACAACTCCACTATTTCTTGAACACACTTGATCATAACTTAAAGTTTGTCGCTTTTCTTGTATTGCACATATTGTATAGAGGTGGCTGCTCTTGGGTCCAAACTGTTCTGCAAGCTCTTCGAGCTACCGTGTGAACCATTGTCGCTGCAGGCGCAAAACATAACTTGCCTGCAGGCCGAAGCACAATGTATCGGAATCTTTAGATGTCAGATGTAGCTGCTGGTAGGAGCAATAGGGGTAGTGGTATCGGGAGCGTTCTTTGGGATACAGAAAGGATCATCAAACTGTCTGCTAACAAGAGTTTAAGGTGATGGTATCCCACATGTCTGTGCCTGTGACCCATGGAGAGAAGGATTTTTTGTGAATGCGGTTGATGGATGCTTACAGTCGTCACTTGGCACAGGAGCTGCAGCACCAGCATGAGGTTCTCCTTGTGCGGCTTGACGAGTGGATTAGCAATATGGAGCGTCGCCTGCAAAAGCCACCTCCTTTGCATCCACATGTGAGCATTCCAGAAGATGACTCCGTTGAACATGGAAGCCCTGATGCACTGCTGTCATTGGATGAAGAGCCGATTTTCCCACCGACATTGAACGGTGGCAGCAAGAGCTTCATCGTTGAAGAGGATCGTGATCCGTCCGCGGGCTTGGACAGCTATACCCTGGCCAAGCAGCAAGGCTCCCGAATTGACACCCTTTTCAAGAGCAAGACAGAGGAAGCCCCTTGGCCAAGTGAAGCCGAGCAAGCGTAAGTCGTAAGTCACCGTGAGCTCTTTCTGCTGCATCATTTTCGACACTGAGGCGAGCTTGACTGCGCCTGCCCAATCCATGACCACAAGCCTCTGCCCCACTTTGCAGAAATGGTGTTCACGTATTGTGGGTTCTCTCTTCTGTGAGATGTTTTTCGCTTTTGTCATCTTGACGAACTCGATTTATTTGGGGGTTCAGATGGAAGTTACAGCCTCACAGGGACAGGATGCCGTGAACAATGAGATAACCTTTGCCGTCCTCAACATTTTCTATGCGGTGGTCTTTTTGCTGGAGGTCTGCCTAAGACTCGTGGCCTTCGGGCCCAGAGCCTATTTCTTTGCCACCAGTTGGGCCTGGAACTGGCTAGATGTTTTCGTGGTGACTTCTACATGGGTAGAGCTGCTGGTGGGTTTGATGGAGGTAGAGGGTTCAGAGGGTCTCTCAAACAGCAACTTGCGGCTCTTGAGGCTTGTGAAGGTGAGCCGCTTGGCGCGTGTCATGCGCATGCTCCGAGTGGTGCAGTACGTGAAGCCGTTGAGGACGTTGATGCATTGCTTGGTGGACACCACCAAGTCATTTGTTTGGTCTTTCCTGCTACTGTTCCTGATGATGTACGTCTTCGGCCTTCTTTTCACAGATGCTGTATTGGATTATATCTTTGATCAGCAGAAACAAGCCCATGGCCAAGCTCCTGATCATGAGCAGCTGTCGTACTTCTTCGGATCTGTGGCTAGCTCGATACAGACACTGTTCCGATCTGTATCGAACGGGCTTGACTGGAGTGAAGCTGCAGACGAGCTGTGCCCTGGCCAGTTGCGAAGCCGAAGAGTTTGGGACTCTTAGGAGAGGTTTCCTCGTTGAAGCGAAAGTACGGCCCAACAACGCCCAAATGTGCTTGATTCATCCTTAAGCTAAATCTGACCAACGACCTTGTGAGGGAACCTGTTGGCTTCATATGGGTCTGGATCTTCAACTTCTACATCTGCATCATTACGCTTGTACTTGTGAACGTGTGGCTTGGCCGCTACCAAGCGTGGCCTGCTGCCAATCTTGTGGGGATTTTCGCAACTGGAGCTGCGGCAAGACATGTTCTCCACAATCACTGTAGATCTTTCACACTTTGTAGCGGACGATCGTGTTGCATGGTCAGGTATCTGTTGCACTGTGCTGGTAGTGGTGATAGTTGCATTGCTGTTCTTGTTCTATCTTGTTCTTGTTCTTGTTGTTGTTGTTGTTGTTGTGGTTCTTCTTCGCGCGCTATGAGCAGAGCGCGCTCGCTCAGCGTCCACCAAAATCGTGGTTGTTGTTGCTGTTGGTGGCGGTGGTGCTGGTCGTGGTGATGCTGTAAGGAGAGCAGCGATAGAGTCTTCACTGACGATGTACCATTCACTATTCGTCGTCGTCGTAGCGGTCATGGGAACGTTGGCGACAGCACCCCAGAAGTAGCAGTAGTAGTAGCAATAGTAGTGATAGTAGTAGTAGTAGTAGTAGTAGTAGTAGTAGTAGTAGTAGTAGTAGTAGTAGTAGTAGTAGTACGGTTGCTACGAAAAATCCTGCATCGATTTATCGACACATGTCTCTCCCCCCGCAACCCCCGAATCTTAATATTGAGCCCAAAGGCACCGAAATGGCGACAGGCGCGAGTGCTAAAAATCCTGCATGGCCCGATGGCCTTTCCAACGTTGAAGTCGGGGCGAGGGCAGCAGGCGCCGAGGTCGTCGCTAAAAATGCTACCAGAGAGGTCAGGGTTTTTACCATCCGCCGTAGTAGTAGTAGTAGTAGTAGTAGTAGTAGTAGTAGTAGTAGTATTCATTCCGAGCGTCGCACAATCCGAGTGCATGACGAGGAGGTCAGACCTTTGGTCCGGCTGCTCGAGGCAGCTGTACCGTATTGATACAACCCTTCAGAAGCAAGGCTACTTATGAGCTTCTTGCCGTCGCGACTACACCAAAACTAGGCCACTGAGGTCGTCGAGATCAAAACTCAATCCATCTGTTGCAGAAAAGAGGTGGTTTCTGCTGCCGACTCCACGACTGTGCAAGTGCTGCCAGACTGATCCATACTCGGGTCACCGACTGTCATCGCAGATGACATCTCGCGCTCGTCCAAAGCAGCACCATTCGGTACACCAGCGGTCATGCAGGTATTGCCTGAAGGGACCACCAGAGGCTGCTGTAAATAGAGCGTGTGAAAGGGTTGTGTGGCCGGTAGAGTCACCAGTTCCATGGGCTGCACTTCGGAGTTATCGGCTTCCCGCTGATAGGAGCTGTTCACTCCAGAGCTGGCCACATTCTGAAAGAGCACATGTTGCCGCTGTTCGCATCCCATAGTATGACAACGGCCTTGATAATAGCGACAATCAGAGCAGCAGAAGGTATGCGAAATGTCTGCCCTCCTTTCGCATCCTGCCAGTCTGCACGTCGTGACTTGAAGCCGCAGGATTGCACGCTGCTTCTTATCACATCGCCGAGTGTGCATGCCCTCCGCGCACAAAGAGCAGCAATGTCTGTGCGGCCTGCCATGAAAGGACCTACCACATCCTGGGGTGATACATTGCTGAGGTGCCATCGGTAAGGACGTAGCAGCGGACGCGTCGGCAGCCATGGGACGCTGGGTCTCGCTGCTGGCCATGACCTGGGTGCAGAGGACAGGACCAAGGTTACAGGGCGAAGCGTAGCTGAGCGGGACGATGCAGGCAAGCAGTCATGCATGAAACATTTTGTGTGTTCAGGCCAATTCGGCAGCTCACTGCCCGAGTCACTACAGGAGCCGCAGATCCTAAGCATCGGCCTGCTGAGTAAACATCCACTGCACTCGCGCCATTAAGAACCCCCAAAACAAGAACCCAGGCATCCTATGGGGAGACTAAGGGCGGGAAGTAGATCGTGAAGGATTGCATGGAGGATTGCAGTCCGCTCGATCCCTCAGTAGCTACCAGCGTTCAGAAGAGAACTGTAGGCAGAAGCATAGGCGGCAGACTGCTTTGGCTGGGGCCATCATCCTCCGGCAGATCAAAGCCAATCTCGAGCAGGCGTTCGCGCATGGGCGCCCGGAGACTCGTCCAGTTGCGAACTGTATATTGTATATGCCACCAGAGTGAAGCGATCAAGGTCGGAGGTATTCGATCCCTCAGGGTAACTGGCATGAAGGTTGCGGTGTGCCGGAAAGAGCAGAGCATGATCAAGCAGGGAAAAATGCTCCCCCCGTCGAAGCTCTCCTTGATGCTCTAGGTAAATCGTGCCCTGGGGATCTTCCACCCAGAGGCCTCCATGGTCTTGCTGACTGAGGCTTATGATGAGATTGTGCTGCGGGCCGTTCTGGGCATCCTTGTGCGGCGGGGTAAAGTAGTTGACATTGACGGCCAGGCTCGTGAATCTGTGCTCAGGATGCACATGTTTGACCAGGAATGTGAGCAGACGACACACATTGTGATGTTGCGGCGTCGCCTTACAAATGCCAACCAGCGGTCCTCGAGCACATACTCCCAGATGAAAGCTCTGAGCTCTGCGGGCCTGCTTCATCATGACCTGCCTCGGCGCCTCAAATTCAAGCAGGGCAGCTGTTTGCCGCACAGCTTCCCAGAGCGATCCTCCACCGGTTTGAAGTTGCATCCAGCCATGCTGCTCGGCCAGGCTGGGCATAGCACCAACCAGACTATCTGGGGGAGGCAGGACGGCAGAGGGCAGCACACCATGCGAGAATAGTCCTCAGAGTAGCGCACAAAAGCCTGGTAGAGCTCCGGCCGAAGCAGGGTTTTGGCATACCTGAAGATATCATTTCTGGCCGTCATACTGAGCATGGACGGAATCGTAGCTTGCTGCCAGCGCATGAGTTCCGCAAGCTGCGCGATCAACATATAGTTTTCCAGGGCATCATAATAAATGTCGCCAGGAAGAGGGAGCCTTACAGCCATGAGTAAGGCAGTGCCGACCTGGGCACTAGGCAAAGGACCGACCTAGACCTTCTGCCTCGAGCTGACAGCTGCTGTGTAAAGCATGCTACAACAGACAACAGAAGCAAGGGCAGGCGGTGCCGAGATGCATGCAGTGCACAAAAACATCTACACTAGGAGCGGGACTAATCGCACCGCGAGACAGCAGGGTGTGCCGACCTAGGCACTGGAACCCTCTCGTGTGGCCGACCTAGGCCACCGAGATTCTTGAACCAGCTAGGCAGCAGAAGAACAGACAGTGAGAATGTGCAGGGCGGGAGTAGGGCTCAGTGCGACTAGAAGCCTTGCTGAAGTAATCATAGATGGCCGTGAACTCCTGCTGCTTGTCCAGGAGTCTGCCGTCTACTGACCGTATCCGAACTTTATCAACACGCTTTTTGGGGGCTAGTTGATTGATGACACGGTAGACCTGAGCCTGGTCCTGCTGTCGGGAGGCCTGTTCGGCTTGTTGGATAAGAGTCTCTACGTGGGCTTTCCGAGCTAGTCGACTGGTCTTCTGTAGCTGCTTTACACTCGCCTTGAAGGCCGCATACTGCCTCCAGGCTCCCCAGATGTGCGCCCGGTCCGGACTCGGTTCCAAGCGTTTCAGTGCACGATGCTGTTGCCACATGTTCGCGATGCAGCTTTTGACTTGAGGTGCATCTCTCGGCCTACGACTGTTTACAGGCTTGCGGGGAAACATCGCAGCACACTGAGGGAGCACAGTCTGATTTAGGGCTTGGATCTTAAGCGCAGGATCATCTGGCAGAGCAGTCAGGGCCGTGCACACAATGTCTCGGAGCTGTTTCGCTTCCGAGCCATCTGCAAGAATGGCTTGCCTCAGATGCTGTATCGAGCAGCCACCTGCGGGTTTGGGGCGGGCTCTAGTCCATCCTGCTACCCACAGAAGATTACCGAGCACCGGCCGGTGTTTAGGTCCCTGCCTCCACGGCATGAGATCCAAAGCTGTAGGCTAGGCACGTCTCGATTCTGCGTCTGCTGTTAGCCTTCGCGTGATCAAAAAGTCAAGTTGTGTCCTGACCTGTCCATTCCTAGATGTATGGCAGGGACCGGGAGTAGCTCTACCCAAGTGTTTAACAAGACTAAATGATGTGTATTAATAATAGCCTCTAACTCCGGATCAGCTTCGCGAGAAGTATGGAGAACCCCTCTTCCAATCAAGCCAGGGATCGGTTTGATACCAGAGTTCAGGTCGCAGCCCATGATCAGCAGATTTCGCGCGGGAAGCGAGTGCAGCAAGACACCCAGGCGCGTCCAAAAGGTGTGCCTCAATTTAGCCACCGCGTCCTTGCGCTTCTCTTGCCAGACATGTTGATATCCGGCAATAAGGTCAAGCGTGACTGCTTGCCGGGTACAGCGAACGTGCAGAAGTCGGCCTGGGATGATGGTGTTGTAGGCGATCTGGTCCGAGTTGGCAACACGTGCCGAGATGAAGACCCCAGTGCCACTATAGCGCTGTTTGGGGTCCGGACAAATAACAGCATGCCAGCTGCCGATAGTCCAGCTTGCCTCATCCTTCCCACATCCCCAGTGCAACTCCTGTGCAAACATAATATCTGCATCACGCTGTTTTTGTAGCCAGTCGCACAGGGCCTGGGACGGCCAGCCTCCGTTGAGGGGGAAGCCTTTCCACAGGCCGCCGGGCCAGACTTGTTTTCTGGACAAGGCGCAGGTTGGGACACCGTGGACCCAGGTTCAGAAGAGCAGGCCAACGTCTTCAGTGCCAATACGGTGTCTACGTTGGTACGTCTCATCTGGGTGCAGTCGCTAAGCGGACGCGCTGGCTGTGCTATGGGTGTCGGGCTACGGCTACGGCCCTCTCAGTTGTGTTCTTACCGTCCTCTTACCCGACGGGGTCAGGCAGTGCTAGGAGTGACGGCTCACGTGCTTTGACGACGAACCATCCTTACGGCCCATCGCTGGTAGTCCGGATTTGCCTAATTTGGGACGTCACTAGACGGGAACTGTGGGAAACGGCTCTTCGGAGTACGACCCGCCGGCTTCCAGTTCGTGAGTACTGGACGCAATGATTGACGCTGAGGGTGGCGGAGGATACAAGACATATAGATCTTGTGAGTCTAGCTGTCACGTGAGGGTTTGAGCGTGCAGCTGCAGCTTGAGTGTGCAGCTGCAGCGCGAGCACCGCTGTGCCAAAACCAGGGAACCGCCTTTGGGAACTGATAGCAACGTCAATGTGACCTGCCTCTTTGAAGCAAGTGCTGAAGAGCTGGCATTGCACTGTGCAGTATGCGTGACACTCGATTTACTTAGGCCGTTCCCTTTTAAACTTTCCTGGCAAAGGTTCTTCGTTTTCCTTCTCTCAGGATCCTATAGGGGTTAAGCGGCCTTCTCAGTTCTTTCAGCTCGGTTTTGTGCTTCTGTTTAGGGTTGTTGGCTAGCTTCGGAGCAATAGGAGTTTGGCTCATTGCTCCAGAAACGGATGAAGGAGGTACTTGCGATGGCTTACGGCACATTTCGAAGTTTCTGATGCGCCCGCTATGAGTAGAGCCCACTCGCTCAGCGTCCAATAGAATTTTTTATTTGTTAGTTGTAATTTTTTATTATTGTTAGTGATATGTTTTTACTACTGTTATTGTTACGAATGTTGTTATTAGTGTTGTTATTATTATTGTCACTATTGATTTTTTATTGTTGTTATCTGTTATTTTCATTGTATTGTATTGGTTTTCTTATGAATTCGTTGGTACAATCAGTATTCGTAGTGTTGTGAGTACTACTCGCAGTTGTAGCAGCGTAGCAGCGTAGCAGTATCATAACTGCTGTTCAAATCATGAGTAAGTCCTGGTCGTTTGCTATTGTTAGTTGCGTGAGCAGGCAGTAGTTGTAGTCGTGTTGTGACTGTGGTGCTGCTTCCGTCGTCGGCGACAGGCGGCAGTGTCGTCGTCGTCGTCGGGCAGTATTCCACTCGTGCTTTGAATTAGCATGTGTCTGACTCTCGCTTCCCGACATCGGCGCCTGTGTAGACTCAGCTTAACTCCTCATTGTGGTACCTGTCGTGTCTATCAACGCACGAGGATCACTGTAAATGGCTTTACTGTTGGCAGTCAGTAAAGAAGCGGCAGCATGCCCCTGCTTGTGCAGTTCCTGTCGTACTCTAGAGTCACAAGATGTTGCCGGGGACTTGCGTTTCCGGCAAACGGCATCATGCCCCTGGTACCTGTCGGTTTGTGCCCACACACGTAACCTGCCTGCAAGCGCTTGTTCTATTCTTGTTAGACTAAGGTTAACCGGTGTTTTTTGCAATTCCGCCATCAAAGCTGCTGAGCGAGATCACGAAATGGTGGCCCGGAGTAGCATAATGTCGGAAGCGAACATCGATTTGAAACCTTTGCTCGCCATGCACGTGCGTGACTCTCGCAGTCTGTCTCTCGAGGTGATCCAGAATCTTCAACAAAATAAAAAAGATTTCAAAGCATTGGTCAAGAACCTCTTCAGGAGGAGCGGTGTCGTTGGGCTTGTCAGCGTCTTCGCTTTGCCATAATTTGCCGAGGATGTAGCTGCGGATCTTAAAGTCTTCTGTAATCTTCAAGAAGAGAAGGCATTGCGCTTACCAGGATTGACGATGCGCACAACGGCTTGATTACGATCTCCGAGTTTGAGAAGCACTTCGATGATGAAGCGGCGCCGAATACAGCAATGACAATGTCGTTGAAGCAGCCCCCATCCCTCGTGCTGAAGCATTGCACCTGCCCTCAGGCCGTAGTCACGACCTTTGCCGTGCTAAGGTGAGGGCATTCTTCGAATCATTAGAGATGAATGCATCTGATGCATGGACCTTATTTGCGAGTTTGGATGCCGATGGGGATGGAGCAATAAGTTCCAAGGCGCAAGAGTATTGTTGGCAGTTTAGGGAGCCGCATGACTCGAATAGTGAGGTAGCAGCCGCTCTAATAGAAGAAAGGAGCTTTTCAATTCTTTCTGATGCCTGGCATGTCTCAAGCCGGCACGCTTCCCTTGCCTGCCTCCTAGCGAAGGCTTAGAAGAATTTATTGACCGGTGTGTGCAGCTGCATGGTCCGGCGCGAGCAGTGGATTCTCCGAAAGCAACATTTGGCCATGATGCTTCTTTCGGCCCGGTTGGCGGGGGGTTCAGGTCTGATGAAGCATGATGCACATAAAATACTTGTCATGCAGCTGCATGCACGCCCAACAAGCTGAGAAAAACCAAGGACCTTTATGCTCTGAAGCAAGGTCAAGTCACCCGCCTGAAAGCACTTCTTTGTTTCAGCTCCACAGCCACGGACAACCAGTTTCTAAAGCAAAGCGGCAAACAGTAACAACAACGTAGCTCTGTGGCTCAGGTGAAGCTGCGAAGTGAGATACAGAAGGTTTTCGATCTCCAGAAGTTGATGCAGAGCTCGAAATCAGCACAGGTGCCTCGCACTCACAGTTTCACTTGTAATGCACAGTACGGAAGCGCCTGTGGTTGATGTCATCATCAATGTTGTGGTAGGGTCGAAGCTGCAGTTGTGTGGTTTTGAAGATCTCTTCAGACCTGTTGTATTGGGACTCAAGGCTTCGGCGACCGTCCGGAGTCGTGCCGCAGTTGCGAAGCTGCAGCCAGTTCTGGTGCTCTGGTGCCAGTGCCAAGCGCCCAACCCCTGCTCGCAAACGAAGCCAAAAGTTCGTAAGGAAACAAAAAATGACATGGCACATATAAACACTCCCCCGCAAGGTCTCGGCCATAAGATGAGCTCTTTTGGTTGCGTTGGTGGGGGGGGGGCAGGTTTGCAGGATTCCCGCCCCATTTCTCTTGCTGTACTGCCACCTAGTCTGCCACCGAGGGAGGGACGAGAGCGGAAAGATCAGGCCAGGACAAGGCATCCAAGAATCCAGCCTGAACGGGACAAGTTCCACAGCACTGCCACACCCGAGTCATTTTGCACAGGCTCAGTGGGGGGGAAATGGAAAATTCCCCTCAATCCTTCGTGCATGCAGCTTCGCAGCGCATTGTGCATGTAACTTGCATGTTGCTTCACACTTGCAAGCTTGGCCATGTGTTTGTTTCCTGCGGCTTCCACTCTTGACCCTGCTGTAGGCGCCTTCCTTGCTCCTTTTTGCCCTTGCTTGTTGCATTTTTCGGGACACTGAGGCATTTCTTCCGAAGAGTCATAGCCCAAGCCATACTTTAAGATAGTGGCAGCGCAAAGAGACTCCAGTTGCCTCGAGCCTCCTCACCTCCCAAAAGCAGAAGACCGAGGATGAAGAAAATTTGTTGGAGTTTGACATCAGCTTTGCCGATTTGGACCCCAACTCAACAGTGGGATGTACGGTTGATTTTTCGTTCGCATGTTATTGGGCACCGGAAAAAGGAATCGACGACGATGTCCGCAAAGATAAGTTCGGGACTTCTTACAACAGCTGCATGATTCAGACCGGCTTTCCAGACCTTCCTTGGTTATCCATATGGGCAACCTTCCTGCTCGCATAACCTCAACGGATATTGAAGCACTCAACAGGCACATCGGCAAGGCTGTGTTCCTCATGATTTTCCTACGGATGACGACTACACCAAGTGCAATTATAATATGAGTGGATTGAAAAGTTCATAGCGATTTTCTCATGGCCTCCACCTTCCACAAATCATTACCTGTCGGGCCTCATGACGCAGGCCTTTCACAGGCCAGCAGTACAGACTTTGTGTACCCTCAACCCAATCTTATCTCCGATGACTTGCCTCCATAATATGCCTGCCGCGCGGTCCAGACAACCTGGCAGCTGCCTTGATTTCATAGGCATTTGCTGTCCATTGGGAGAGGGAGAGGGAGATCGGCTGTTAAGTCTGGCCCCCCCCCCCCCCCCGCCACTGAGGGAGTCTTGCCACAAGCAAGGCCAAGGCACGTGCACCTTGAAGCCTACTAATTGGAGGATCAAGTGTACACAAGGAGGCGGTTGAGAAGGGGTCAAGGGCAAGGACAACGGAACACTTGCGCGAGGCACATGACAGCATGCAGTACTTTTCTCATTTGCAATATTTCAGCCCAGAAGGTCAAGCGACTGTCGGACACCATGCGGCGGCGAGCAGACAAGGGTACATGTGTTCCTTTCAGCTCTGTGTCGCCTGCTCCACTTTTTCTACCTGTCTAGCAATTGGCATTCAGATACGGAGTGCAGAGGCCCTCCACAGGGGTTCGACTTGAATCCTATCATGGGCAGAAACTGAGAATCACAGCAGGCAACATGCAACTGGTGTTATCCTGAGTCTTGTGCTTGTTTCAACTGCATCGCGTGGGCGATTTTGTTGTGCGGTTCACACCAGGCTGGAGATTTGCAATATTTGATCGCGAAAACGAAGTCGGCGAAGTCGGAAGACAGTGATCCGCATCTTACGGTGTAGTAAGGAACTGGCGTTGCATTTGGAATGATGGCAGAGCCATTCGCCTGCACATGTCGGCCGACAGTCTCGTCCGAGCAACGGTAGTGCAACGCTCGTTCTCAAAGCTGTGGTGGTTGTGAGCATCAAAGATGCTCCTACCACCGCAGCGAGATGCCTTTTCCAGTAAGATGCGTACTAGAGGGTGTGACTCATCGTGGAAAGTTTTGCCATGTCGTGAGATGAGACAGCTGCTACACATGGTCTGCATGTGCAGTCATGTACACACCATGCATCTTGCGAAGTCTCTAGAACTAGCCATGGATCATGACCTGATTCTTGGAGCCAGGACTGGTGACTCATAGAGTTATCAAGCTCAAGTCCAGATTTGCGTGTGCGTGTGCGCGCACAGGCAAGTCGCGTCATGACAGGCTTCCAGTGACGGTTCTTCAGTCCTGTGTTCCGCACTGGCTTGCTAGAGCTCTCATGCTCGCTCGGAGTTGGCCTCCTCAAGCTGGGAGGGACAACTGAATAGGTCCAGGAATGTAAGTGATGATCGATGTCGTAATAATATCGCTCTGCAGTCTGTCGTACACACAACAGTGGTGGTATCTGTTTTCTTACATGTTTTGAGCAACGCCTGTCTCTAAGGCTGGAGACAACCCCCCCAGACTCTCATGTTTCACAAGCCGAAACGAGTGCTGCGGTAAGCGCGAATGGGAAAACAAGAGCAGCTAGCGCCTGGACAACTCTTCCATTCGTCTCACTGCATGCTGGGCTCCAGATGAAGGGAAGCTTGCATCGGCTGCATTTGCCGTGTGGTGCACCAGTGCCCAGGCCAGAGTTTGCCGCAAAACCTGCGAACCGGCTTGATGGCCTCAGTGACACTTGGAAGCACTGGCAATGCCTTGCGAGTACGGTCAGTGACTATGTGAGTGTAGTGTTAGTGCCAGTCGTATGCTTGAAATTGTCGGCTGCATGTGTTATGACAAATCAAACTTCAAGAATAATGCATCAGTTCGAACTTCTAGGGTTCATCGACCAATGTCTAGCCAGTAGGGGTGCATGGGTCTTCTACGAGTGATTGCTTTGGAAAGGGTTTTCTGAGTTTCAGTGGGTTCCGATTCTATGGGTATTCGGAATTCCGGAATCTTGCGATATTCATGCTTCTAAGCCCTCGGCACGACGCATGTATTCAGGGGTCTTCAGTCTTCTGATGTATTCATGTTGCCACCGGGTGACCGTGAGTCCGACAGGGCTTTGGCGGAACTACTGTCGGTAACACACCTGCAGACCAGTCATCCTCAGCTCGATGCATGCTTTGATTTTGTGGGTGTATGTGTGTGTGTGTGATTCTGCTGTACATTGCAGTCCAGGTCCAAATTTTTTCCTTGTATATGCAGGGGGCTGGAGTGCATTACAGAAGTCTCTAGCCAACCAAGACACGGTTGTGTTTGCAGTGCAAACGTACCTGCGAGTGGTGCATCTGGGAAGAATTACTCCAGCTGGTGGCCATATCTTGAAATTGCATGAGTGTGGAGCTGCATGCCAGTGATCCGAGCTTTCAGTTGTATGTTTGTGAAGCAGTGATCGAACGCTTATGTCTACATGATGTGCAGACGTGCATCCTTAGTTAACGACCTTGGTCTTCTTCCACATCAGGCCTGGGTCTCGCTACTCCATGAAGACTTTGTTTGTGGAGCAATGCTCCCAAGTGCACCATCACCTGCCCCTTGTCCAGCGACATAAAGCTTCGTTGGCGACAATTATATATGTCAAAGGACATCGCGCCCCGAGGAGTGAGGGGGGATTGAAGCCAATGCCACATGCCTAAAACTGGACGGGGGCTTCACAACAAACGCAGCGCTGCACCACGTCTTCGCGTTCGTTGTGTTCAAGCCTTCACTTCCCTGCGGCCAAATGGCGAATAACACTCAATCTTGCTTTTGTGTTCATTGTCCGGAATTGTACAGTCCAGTAGCCTGTTACATTCCGTCGCTAACCTTCCAACTTATACAGTTCCAAGCGTCCGGCCTTTGGCGGTAGCACAGAGTTTCAAGAAGGCAGGAGATGACGTTTTTTCCAACAGCCAGGGGATGCCTGAGGTTGCTGAAAGCACGGCTGCACGAGAAAATGCCCGCACGGAAGTGCAAGAATCGACTAGACAGTCAAGGAGCCGATTGCATGGAATCCATTGATGATGTGGCATTGTTCCTGCCAAGGATGCTGCAGAGGAGGCAGCCGCCTTCATGTGAGCTTTGGGAGTTTGGTGTGGATGGCAATCTACAGTTTGCAAAGCTCAGGGCCTTGTGTTGTGGATTAGCGAGGTCATGTGCAGCATGTCGTACGCTTGGAGTTTATGTATCTTTGTGTCAGATCTAAACAAATATGCAGGTTCAACCACGATACGACAGGTCTTGACAGTTTGATGCGCTTCTGCTTGAATTGTTCAGGTTATGCCCTTGATCGTGTCTGGATGTGATTCTTGCCAAGTTTTAGTTGTTCACGGTAGCTCATCCTCATCCGCCCGTTATGTGTTACGGGTTCGGCCCATATCCAGGGTGTTCGCATGGGCGGGCGCCAGCTGATGTCCCAAATGTGATTTGGCAGGATGATGATCCAGAGGCGCAGCTGGTGTGTTTTGAGAAAACTATGGCTGCCCACCCTTGAGCTTGAACAACAAGGGTTCTTTGACATTTCTGACGAGAAACTGGATTCCGACAAAGCCGATTGAAGCAAGTCAGCCTTCTTGCTCTTCAGCACGTCAACAGCAAATCCGGGAAAAAAGCTGCTTCGGGAGGCGGGGCTGGAGTGATTATGTTGAAGTTGGCGGCTTCTTTCTGAGCAGACTGCAGTTGTGAGTCATGCTGCTCAGATGTCAGGTGAGACGGAAGCAGGAGAATGCCTTCGCTGCACTGCGTGCATTAGAGGTCCCAATGCAGGGAAGAGCGTGGGTGGCTGCAGCTACAGCTGCTAGCCTTTTCCGTTCCCCTCCCTTCCTTCCAGCTGTGCTTGAGATGCTTTGTCCGCTATCGTGTGTGTGTGTGTGTCCATCGGTGGATTTGAACCATGAGCCCACTTGTTGTCAACGATCGATGTAGTAGAATTTGTTGGGGTGCTTACAGTGGTTCAGTGACAGGAATTCGATCGACTTGGTCGTGAAAGAGATGCGATGTTGGCGAAGTGTGCTTGCAATATTTGTGTCTATGGCACAGATGCACAGGAAAGCAGCAAATCGGTATTTACACGTTTTCGGCAGTCGTGTTGGGCCGCTCAAAAACCACTTCATGGAGATCAGTGTTCAGGTACCGCCAGAAGTACGGCGACTGATCGTCAGCGAGGACTGTTGTTCCGGGCGAAACGGCCAGGAAAGCCAGCACCTGCCAGTGCCAAAGCAAAAGACGCTTCCCAGCCATGCTTCCATGCCTTGGTGCGAGGATCGTAGGAGTGGTTCCGTCAAGTCGAAACCCTGCAGTTAAAGCCAAAAGCTTTCGGGCAGTTGACTTGCGCAATCAAGCAGCAGGGAACACACCTTGACATCTAGCCACCCAACGTAGCGACGAGCCTCATGTTTGGTGTTTTCTTTTCCACGAAGCTTGACATCAGCCACGCTCTGCCAAGCGTTTGCAGTTATCGCGCTGTTGATGTTCGTGCATTGTACCGGGCCTATGACTACCCGAAAGGCCTGGTGCATTCACGTGCCACAGGGTGGGAAGGGGTGAGCGGCACGCTGCATGCAGCACCACATGATCTGGCTATATCTGGCTTGTGCTTTTGTCGTGTCTGTTGGTATCGCAACTGAGCAAACCAGACTGCAGTTTGATACAAGTCTTCTTGACTGCTTTCTGCGTCGACATTGAATCCTTTCAGGCTTGGAAGAATTTGGTGTTGCTGACGGTCGGATGGCAGGCAAGTGTTGTGAGGGACGTGGGTCGGGATGCTGCAAGCAAGGGTCATGGAAGCCGTCCGACTTCTGTCTGTGACCTAGGCAGCATGGCATGCATGGCCATGGCTGGAACTGGCATTCACACCACGAGGCAGCACATGTGTTGATGTCTTGAAGCCGCTTTTTCGGGGGAGTGACGAGGTGCTTTGCTGCTTTGCAAGAGCCTGGCCTTGCTCAGGCTGGAGGCCCTGGGCTGACCAGATGAAGGCCCCCAGCGGCTGGAAGGGGCTCCGCATGATCTCATTGGAACAAATTCGGTGCCTTCTGATCCTGTATGTTGCGACCTGTATTTTCAGGAGATGACGCCAGAAGTCGAGTGTCAGCAGGTGGGGATTTGTGCCTTGCAGGCTTCGACTAAAAGTTTGGCGAGCTCTGCATCATATTCTGTTTCATCGCTCGTGACTCGTGATTGTCAGCTCTTGTGATCTCAGGAACTATCAGTTTGGATCGAAGGGCCTCAGATGTAGCAATGCCGAATCCAGATGACAGGCTACACAGCACTTGCACGAAGCTTCTTTTCACGGGTTTCCCAGATGTCACAGCCGCGTACAGATTCGGATTTGCTTTGCACATAGCTGTATTGCCTTGGCGACGGGCTGATGTGCCGAAACCCGCCTCCATGGATCTTCGGCTTGGACTCCTCGTTGTTGGCTTCTTTCTTTGCCATGTGGCTTTTGAAGCCTTGAACGAGATGCTGGTTGCTTGGGAGCAACTAGGGCAAACCATGATCTCAAGACGTACTTGCCGTTTGCAACGCTTTCGATTGGTCAAGATGTTGTCGAACAGCGGAACACCCCGCAACTGCAAGAGGTCGCTCCACGGTTTCGAGAGCATCGAAACCTTGAAGCATCTGCACTTGTGAGGTCACGCTGCCCAATGTTCCGCACAGCATCGAGTTTGCATTCAGGTCAGGTTTGCAGGCTTGTTGCCGATGCATGGGCTTGAGAGACATGCGGACTAGCCGAATCTAGCCGGATAGCTCACAGCTACATGAGAACACATGCTTAGCGTCTACAAGGTGGAGAATGCTTTTGTGAGCACAGTTGTAGAGGGGGTCTGTGTCAGTAAGGACCATCCATGGGCGATCTGTAGACTGTTGATGGTAAGTTCATGCTTGTGTGCATTGCATGTCAAGCCTTGCCTCACTGTGACCGGACCAGCTCGGTAATTCTGGTTTTCGTGCAACCTCACAAGACTTGAGGTGTGACCCTTTGGAGCGTCGCTGCGCAGTTTGGCCTTTGTACAGTGGCTCCGTTGACACGAGCACCGTGGGCCCTATTCACCAAAAGTTCATGGTGGCCGCTACCTGCCTCGTTTCAGCCGACCCAGGAAGATCACTGGGCGGGAATGCAGAGGTTTAACAGCATGAACCCGACTGGAATCGAACCGATGGTGCAACCGAACAGGATAGTTCGCAGTACAATACAAAGCCGATTGAAGTGGAGTGCTGCAACTTCGAGGTTCGTCACGGTGTCGTGCCTGGTGTGACTCGGTCAAGCACGAAAGCCGACATTGAGCAAAATCAGTCGAAGGTGCTGTGCTGTGCACGTTCTGCCTTGGGAGATCCCAGGAGCTAGGTCCGGCTAACATCCCAGTCATATTCCAGCGAGGTATGTTCGATGCGGTCTGCAAAAGCAATAGATGCAGCAGAATCTGTGCCGTCGCGGCCCATAGGCCAGAACCTTTCTGAAACCCGTGGATGTGTTCAATTGAGGTTTTTGTCGAACGGCTTGTCACAGTACTCTACGCATCACGTGGAGTTCACTCTGAAGATTGTGGCCAAAGCTAGCAAGCTGCAGGATTCTCAGCTTTGCTCAAGTTCACCATCACTTGCACCACTTCGGCTTCTGAAGCAGTTGTACTGGATAGTCGTCGGTTTAAGGCAGAAGCTGGAGGGTCCCGCAGCATCCGGTCCATGAGCGACAAATCACATGGCTAGGGAAGGCTTATGACTTGAAAGGTTGCCCACGATGCTGATCTCGGGATTACTGGGCAACTCGAGCCACTTCCAGGCAGCTCTTTGCATTTCAGCACTGCCACTGGCCGTCACTGGCTTTGCTGCTGAGATTGCCGCTTTGCATGTGGAGGCCTTGGATTATGTAGCAGCTCTGCTACTATGCGTGTCTCGGATGAGCAATGGTTGTGTGCCTGAAGGGGGGGAATCGAAACCCATGATGTCCAGGCAGGGACGGCTCTTTTCTCGTATGGTGGCGGTCGCGCGCCCAACGCCTCGAGCTCGTGGCAGGTGGTGGTGGGCAGCATGGCTTCTGGAAAAGCTGCTCTTAGTTTGTTTTTCCGGTAAATCATGAACTAGTTGCAGCACGATGCGTCGATGGTATTAAGGTATGTTGGCACTCGCAGTGTCATGCGTGTTCGATGGTTTGGCGGGCTCCTGAGAGATCGTCGCCGGCATTCTTGTCAGAATTTGTGCGCGGTGTGACCCTCTGCAAAGTCTTAGGGGGAAGTGCCGAATCTGCATGGCGGGGTTGCTGTGCTGTAGACTTGCTGTCTTGCAGCTGGTGCAGTGCAGAGAGCTGCAGAAAACCCATACCATGATCTGCAGATTCACATAGCCTGGCACACCACAACATGACACCCACTCACGCCCAAGACAACAACGAGCCCCATGGTACTCGAGCACCATACCTCGGCCCACAATGCTTCGGAGCAACATGTGCGTCCCTTCCGCCCAATCCTTCAGGGCTTCATCACTTGACATGATTGTCTCCATGCACTTCTGGCGTCGCGGTTCTCGAGGTTCCAAACCTGCAGCAGAAGATCATGCGCACCGGTATTTCGTCGACAGAGCTCATGATCCGAACCAACGCTGTCGGCTCACTGGCAGGCTTTCCAAATTTGCACAAATGCCTGGATTGTTATGGATCCGTGACGTGCGTGCGGGGACTAAAGTGAGGAAGTCATCAGCAAGCAAGAGACCTCACGATTTCTTCAGGTGTTGCTGGCATCGTGCTGAGTCGGGATGTGATGTCCGTAGTTGACTACGCAGGTGGGATGGGATGCATTCACGCTGATCGAGTGCCCGAGTCGTTTTTGACTGACTTGGAGTGACCTTTCGGCGGGCCTCAGCCATCAAAACCCTGCCTAGCCTTTCTCCCTTCATACCGTTGACTTTGGATCTTGCCTGTTGTCGGAGCCCGAGTCCCTCCCGAAACGAAGACGCCGATCGTTTGAGGGAATCATTGACTCGGCGGTCGTGGTCTCCTGCCTGTCCAACTTGGCATGGGGTGGCAGGTTGACCCGGAAGACTGTCGCAAGATGCAACAATACATCCGGGACAGCAATTTTGGCTTTGAGCCGTATCTCTTCAAGTGTCTTTAAGGCATCCTGTAAAATTCTGAAGAGCATATTGGATGCGAAAGGCCAGCGGCCAGAGCTGTGGTGGCTCATCCCTTCGATCGGCTTGTTCTTGGCAGGCCGGTTCGTGCTTGTCAGTAGGAGGCTGGCAGAGCGGCCGCTCCAGGCAGTGTTCTATGCTACACAGATCTGGTGGCCCATGCTGGCTCTGTATCGGCAGTGGGAGTGGCCACGCTTCGCAAGAGTGCCTCGCTGCTTGTTTCGTTACCCGGCTCAGGCACAGAGGCGCCTCCACAGACTTGCCTATTCTACATACTTCCAGTCCCATCTCGTGCGAGCTGAGGTACTTCTTGTTTCCAGGAAAGTCATTCAGTACCTTCCGTGGGCTTGGGCTCCTGGTCCTTACACTGGGCCTTCTGCTGGCAGAACGCCGTGCAACATCGCGCAGCAGAGCACAAGGCTGCTGCCGTTCTGGAGGCCATTCTGTTGCTTGAGCTTAGTTTTCTGTCGGTGCAGTTCTGTGCAGGACGGGCGGGGCCGGGGCCGGGTCATTTGCAACCTGTCAGGTGGCAATGGCAAGGAAAGGAGTGACAAAGAAAACACTGCTCCGGGAGGCGGATGGAGCCAGAGCAAGGCAGACTAAGACCTGCCATTACTTTCAAAAGTTACAGCTGCTCAAGATTGGATGGATTTCATGCGGGAGCAGTGATAGCCGATGCCCTTGACAAGAAGCTGGAGCTCGAAAATCGGTGGACAATCCAGGTCCCCATGCACGCAGCGTTCGACGACTGTGGAGGGACTGTGCCCTCTCGAAGTTTATGCCCCGGAATTGCCAGAATGTTCCCAAGAAAGCAAGCTGCTGGCTTTCTCTCATCATGGTCTACTTGGTCTCCGATGCACACCCGCCTGCAGACCCTCGGTTGAGGCATGAGCCGCTGAGCTATCTTGCCTGCAGCTGTAACCCAACTGCTGCAAAGTTGTGCGCTGGAGGAAGAGAAAAGCACTGTCTACAGGGCGAACACGGGTGAACGCAGACGCGAAGATGGAGAAGCACCGCAGATGGAATGTGTCGAGAACGGAATGACATCTTAATCACCCATGCAAGAAGCAGTATATAATTGGATCGAATGGAAGGCTCCGGCTTCCGGCTTGCTCGGGACTGCAGTTTGCCCATGCACTTGATAGCTGGAGCTCGAGCTGAGATGTGCTGCTACAGGGGTTGCCACAGCAGAGCGTTGGCGGCTTGGGTTTCATCGGTGGTATCTGACAGCAACTTTCGATGTCAGCCAGGCGTGTGCAGTTGAAGCCTGGGCGGCTGCCTCAGAGAGCAACCTGCGGGCCCCAGCGCCTGTGATGCTTCTGATGCGATGCTAAGGCTGTGATGCGGTTAAGGGATTCAATACGTCCAGGCAAGTCCTGCGACATCCTGCGACGGGAACGGTTTGGGTCACTGCTGCTTTCATCCAAGGTTCGGCGTGTTGTCGTTGCGCACGGGCTTTGTCCTTGGGCTGACGGAGCACTGAGGCCTTCGCCGCAAGCGCTGGGCTTGTGCGATCATGTACGCCTAGGGTCTGGAGCTGTCCGCATTGCTGAACACCAGTGAACTTGAGAGCAACTGAAGCTCCAAATGGCGAGGAATCTAGGCTCAGCAGCATGTGCAGGCAAAGAAGCTTGGCTGTTGTATCGTTGTTTGAAGATGACGAGGACGCGCCTGCAAAGTGTTGTGATAATGCTACGTACTTTGGGTTTCGGGTTCCGCTCCGTTAGATCTTCATCTTTGCCCCGAGACTGGCAGAATTGGAATGCAAGAGGTAAGATATGTTCACAGGCTTTGGTTCCCTGTCATACGCAGACAGCATTCGCTCAGCCCGCATAGCAAAGCAGTGCAACACAAGTCGTCGGTCCACTAGAACAGGCCTTCAGAGGCTTCTGCGGCAGAGTCAGCACCATGCGCTTAGCGGCCGGGTGTGAGTGGTGGTTGTTCCCACAAGCCGACTCTCAAAGCTGAGGTTGACAATTTCAACATCTTGGTGACATGCGGATGTCGAAAACCTATCCGAACAGAAGAACCGGCCCCCGCTGAGGATGATACCACTTAGCAGCGGAAATGAGAGTGGTCAGTTCAGCACGGTGGATGTTTTTAACAATAAAGCATCATGAGTGTCTGCATCGATGCACACTCCTTCTTTTTAAAAGCTATGTCTGGGTCGTCAGGATCGCGCACGTGCCATCGAGAAATAGCGAACAAAAGGGCTTTGACTGTCCAAGTGCGAGACGCCAGTGCTGTCATCAATCATGTGGAGTGCTTCTCAGATAATGACATGGTGAACACAGTTGACCCCATCAGCGAATCCCAACCAGTATAGGATCAAGCAATCGGAGTGGCAGCAATTCCCGTTGGGGTCGCATCCAATGCCCATGTTCACCTACAGAAATCATTTTTGACAAAGTCCAGAAACCTCGACCAGACCCCGAAATTCGAGCTGAAAGGATTGAAATACACAAGCACATCTTGGAAGACTTGGAGCTTTTGGGGACAAAGCACAGTCCGACACGACACGGAACCGACGAACCAAGAACGGAAATTGCTGAGGCTTGCAGCAGCTTGGTCTGTACCTCAACTTCTCTTGGTACTGTGCAGCAGAGTTACTTCCGCGAACATCCAAGCCGTCACACAAATGCCCGAATGGCGGGAGGTCACTAGAGTCACTAGAGGGCATCGATCCGATGATACAAAACTGAGCGTCCGACTTCATCTTTGCTTGGCCGAGGCTTCCCCTAGCCAATAGCCGCAGATTCCAGAGTGTAAGTCAACTTCGAGAGTCTAGGGGCTCCGGGATGTGAGAACATGCGAGAACGCATTGCAGGCCGAATTCTGCTTCGCAAGTCTCTGCCATGTGGAAGGTGGAGTAGAAAGTAAGGGCAGACTGACGGTCTCGGTAACCCTGACATTCAGTTCAACATTGATTGACAGTGAACCAGATGCAGTTCTTGAAGGAGTTTTGAGCAGGGACCTGGTAGCAATCGATGATCGAATCTGGAAAAGGACTGAGCTCGATGATCGAATCTGGAAAAGAACTGAGCGTACCGCGCTTGCAAACCGAACTCTTGCAAACTGCAAAGATGACCGCGCCAGTTGCCTAGTACGGTCCACAGTTGGCAAAAGCCTGCATCAAGCAAGTCATCCACCAGCTGGATGCAAAAGGGGAAATCCTTGCATGCCATAGCCCTAGCCATGTTTTTTGCCAGCATACAGTTCGTCAATTTCGGTGGAGTGCTGCCAAATTGCGCTTAAACCGCATCTTCTGGAGGAGCAGGTGGCAGCCGCCCTGGTGAGTCACGCACAGTTACTTGCCGGCAGCCAAGAACTCTCGCACGGGCACTAGGACTACACGGTATCAACTGACATCCGTTCAGGCACTGCAGCACCCGCCGGAGGGTGCCGGTGCCACGACGCTGCTTGTGGCACCCAGGCAGGCTCGTAAGCCAGGAGCCGTGGAAGGCAAACATCCCTTGTCTTGGTGACAGAGCACAGGTGCGAAAAGCTTCTTGACTTCGAGGCCATACATTGCACGCAAGCAGCGAGTGGGAACGACACAGGCTTGCATTCTCTTCGGCATGTGAACGTGCTCTGTTCATTGCTGCCTGCAGCAGGATAGTACAGAGCACATCTTCAGTGACGTGTTTTGTGAATGAATGTGGCATGGTTCAAGGGCTACTTGGAGCTCTGTGATTGGGTTGAAGAAGCCTTTTCAGAGCTGGACCTGATCGGCAAGGCTGGAGCCTGGGACGTTGTGCCATTCAGACAGACTGAAAGGCGCCTTAACTTTGCTTTACATCTCTGTACTGTGCTGTCACGCGAGTCCATGTTGGTTGCAAGCGATACGTTTCGCAGCGCGCGGAGAAGTTCGACGCAGCCAGGTGCAGATGGCTGCTTTCCATCCAGACTTCCGCTTCAATGGCTCTGCCACACACTTGGACACAAGTACTGTGACGATCCGAAAGTTATTTTATGCTTGAAGCTGCACGGGACCACCTACTAATTGATGCTGAGGATGCGGCGGACTGTGCAAACTTCGTTGGTCGTGCTCCATATCCTGCTTTTCATTTGTTGCGGGAGGAGGAGTGCATCGGACTGCATGCCGATCACAAACGGGTAACCGGGTTTGAGCTGTCCGTCTGTCTCTCAGCTTTCTGGAGTTCTCGTGTTACCAGAGCTTTTTGTGTTCTTTTATTGAGAAGTTATGTTTTGGTTCCAAGGTTTCGGAACTTCAGTCATTGAAGTTGGGCTTTACATCATTTTTTACACTCACTTCTGAATGGTGGTTTGTGGACATGTTTGTCTCATCGCCCAAATTTCCGAGGTTGTGTTTGGGGAGTTGATTTCTGGATATTTCTGGCATTCATTTGAGGGTCTTTATTGTTGGAATCATCTTCTAAGGAGTCTGGTCTTCCTACTTGTAGCAAGGTTTTGGGCCCTAACTTCCAATAAATAGGGCTCACACGTGAATTTACCTCAGCCCGTCTCTACAGCTCTACGGACTACAGATTGGCTTGTTCCTCTTCATGCTCCATGTAACACAAAACACAAAGTCTTGACGAGCAAGGCTGCTCGAAGAAGAACAATGTACAAACCCTTTTAGCAAACTCTGACAACTCAGTGCCGAAAACATTGGTAAAACTACGTAAGCACGTTAAGCCGTACGTATGCATACAACCGGTGACCCCATGACAGCTTCCGCCGCGAGTCCCCCCTCAAAAAATTGGCAGGAGCTCTGCAAACCCTTAACCTCAACATTCCGGACGCGTCTAGGGCCGTCTAGGGGTGTCACTGAGGAGCTTGTGTTGGGTCACCGTGTCAGTAGCCGACTGCTCTGGAAGCGAAATGGCCTTAGTTTAGTGTGGGATGACCGGCCGTTAGCCGTCCGTTGCTCCGCCGACTAAGGTGTTCTAAATTGCAGGCTGAACAGGGGCGAAGAAACAGCGAAAGAAGCAAACTCACAGTCAAACAGAGTGTTGTTTGTGATGAGCTGGCACGCACTTGTCTGTGCTGCGCGATGCATCTTGAATAATTATCCTTTTTGGGAACCTTACCGTCCGAAATCACGACCGTAAAGTTTAGCAGTATGAGCTCGATGTGCCGCTGGTGGGCCTGGATCTGTCGCACTTCCGTGTTGCCTTTTCTCACAAGTCTTTTCTTTCTTGTTGCGCGTTACGGCTCCCAATGCCGCTCCCAATGCCGCTTAGTGATTTTTTCTGCCCACCATGTGTTGAGGTCGAGATGCACCTCAGCCCACGTCTGCTTAAAGTTGGCGACATGAGCTTGAGCTTAAAGTTCGGATTCATGTCTGGCAATGAAAATCGAAGTCACCGTGCCCTTGAAACGAACCATTTGCGCAGACAGGATGCATGCGTTCGCATGTCTCCCTGGTAAGCTCACGTCCGTTTGCTTTCAGCATTTTGTTTTCATCAGTCAAGTTTTTTCCAGAGTCGTCTTCACCAGTAGCCACCTTTCCAGACGCCATGAAATACCAGAGAGACGCCGTCAGTCTAGTCTATAATCAGAAAGAGCCACCTGCAGGCACAAGGGGCATGAGCTACAGCAAGATTGAAGTCATCTGCCCTGCCGATGGAAACGATAGTTGAATCTCAAAAAACCTGCACTGAAAAGTTACAGTTGTTCATGTTCACATGACGTGTCGTTCCACATCCCCAAACGGTTTGTGTGCAGAGCCTTCAACACAGTCAAGCTTGCGCAGTGCACCAGGTGGTTTGGGGCCCCTAGCTTGTCTCCACACGTTGGGTGACGGATGCATGTCACTCTGTATCCACAGACCGACTGAACTCCATGCCCCTCCGCTTTTTTGAACATCCATTGCAGGAGGTTTCTGCTGCCCTGGCAAGCTTTCATCTGGTTGGCCGAGAACCTTTCCAGGACTCGGACACTTCCACCAGGCGATGACACGTTGCATATGCTCGCCACAGGGCCCGGAGGAGGTCGGCGCGTTCATCGCGGAGCGAAATGCAAGGCTGGAAACTTGCAATGCGGCGCCGCGAGCGCTCTTTCCAAATATGTTCAGTGTCGTGGATCCTGGATGCTCACCAGCCGCCAGGGAACTGGCTGCAGCCATAACTTCTATCATGAATTCTGTCGCATCAGATCGCTCAAATTCACAGCTGTGCTGGTACTGTGCAGAATTGTGCAGAGGTTTCTCCGCGATCGGGGACGAGAAGCCTGCTTACGAAGTGTCAGGCGGTCTGCTGGCTGCATGCCGTGACGTGATTGAGGTGCTGCTTGAATCTCTGATGGTGGAAGATACTACTGTAGTACGGCTTCTTACACTCTGGCCTCTGGTCAGGGCCTGCGACGCGTCAGACCTGCCATGCGGACAAGCAAAAGATGCACAGCGAGGGAGGGGTAGGCTCGGGCCCAAGGGGTGTCCAGCACCCATCCGTAAGGTGCTGCTGCTGGACATGAATGCTCTGCGCTAATAAAACTCCAAATCCAGTCCTAGTCAGGTCCGAACGCATCCTTGCCAAACTCTGTCTGTGGTCCGCCGTTTGTCTTTGGCTCGCATGTGCCCGCTTCCGAAGCGGTTCTCAAAGTCTTGGTGCCTCAGCAGCATTCAGTTCGCTGCTATCCGGATTAAGACGTTTCTGTACACTAGCGGCAGCACTGTGGCCGCGGTTGTTCTGTGAAGAGGCTCACCCAACAAAACGACAAGGATTGCAGCCCCTCGCACACCCCCTTGAGAGAGAGAGAGAGAGATTGGTGCAGAACCCCCTCAGGCACCTGGCACTTCTTCGCAACCGACCCGGGGCTCTTTGTTTGCAACATGGACATTGACCTGTTGAATCCGGATCTCAAGGAAGAGAAGGCTGGGGCCCGTGGTGTTTCGGCATGCAGCACACAACTCTTTGTAAATCTATAGATATCACATTTCGAGCGCTTGCAGTCAAGAAACTCTGAATGCCGCTCCAGTCGAAGCACAAGCTGAAGCGCATGATCCAGTCTCCGAACAGCTCCTCGGCTTCACTAGACCCGGTGCGGGGCCGAACGCAGGGTGAGGGGATGGCGAGCCGGGGCCGCATGCCAACTTCCTCCATCGTCCTCGTGGCCTTCACGTTATGTCTAGGAGAGGCTGAGAGTGCTAGCTGCTAGATCCTGGCCCGAGATGCGGCATCTAAATTCTGAGCAGTAACCAGCACGTCTGGGCCTCGTATCAGCGAGGTTTCTTCATGGACGTGAAGTGCCCGGGCTGCTTGCAGGTGCCAGGGCCAGAACTAGAGAAGCTTGATGGTTTTAGGCAGGTCTTGCTTAAGGTTTCTTGATGACGATACTTGTAGCCTTTCCAGATCACCACCGTCTTCAGCCATGCCCAGACAGTTGTGCTCTGTGGCAACTGCAATGCCAGGGCCTGAGCGGAGCGGGAGCGGGAGCGGTGGGGTTTTAAGAAGCACTTGGAAATGTGAGTGCTTGGGCTCGAAAACGTCTCTGGTATCAGGTAATGCTTTGTCAGCCGACGGGCGGCCTTGCGCGACTCACTGAGGGCTGCTCCTTCCGAAGGTCCGTTTGGCATGGTTCTGATGCAAGTGCCTGGTAGCGGTTGGGGGCGTAGTTGCTTCTCTGCAGTCCGGGTCTGGAAAGCTTGCGCAATATAGGAGACGCCAAAAGGATGCAGCTTTTCAGATTTGCTTGGATCCACAATGGCATCATGGCAGGAAAACCGACTGAGGGTATGGAAGCGCTGCGTTGTGAAGCGGTGGAGCATGTTGCCAGCAAAAGGTTTGCTTGTCGCCATTACACATGTGCCAATGTGCTCTTCAGCAGCTGCATGGACTCGCTGGTCTCAGCAAGGTTGCCGCAAAGGCCAGTCTGATAAGCAGCCACTGCAGCTCAAGCTGCTACTTTCCCTGCGCTTGAGTGAAGCTGCTTGAAGCTCCCCCAAGTCTTGCACTCAGCTGGGTTTGAACCGTCGACACCGGCAGCTCTTCGGGGCATAGAGGATGCTCAGAGAGGTTCAGATTCTGCACGCAGCAGCGGTTTCGTGAATGGGTTGAGGCACCGTGTGATCGCGTTGCGGGTCGAATATCCTGAGCATGTCGGATGATGCTATTGGGCAATGGTCAATAATGGTCCTCCGGCTTTCTGTTTCTCTGGCCTATCATGATTGGTGTGGGGTTGATGGTGGGCATGTGGCACATGTGATCGCTGCCGCAGCCGTGGGGTTTTTCAAAGACGTCGAAGACGCCTTCAGATTTTGCCGGCACGAGGCTCGGACAGCTGGATCAGCTAAGGCCGACTTTAAGGATACAATCCCATCCCATTTGCTTGCCGTGCGAGGCCATGCCTGCGATGTCAAAGCTGTCCTTCGTCGCCGCGAGCGCCGCGGCCGCCACTGCGGCGACGACATTTGTCGGAGTTCCACAACCGGTGTCGAGGTCTGCATATCGGTAAAGGTAGACACAGTGATCTACCCGACAAAGTACTGTTTGGGATGCAGGCCTGTCGCCCTACGTGGTGCCCAGCAACGGTCTTCGACAGGCCTCCAAAGCTTTGATTTAGCGAGTGCCTTTCAGAAGCATGCTGGGCATTTGCGCTGGCCGCGGGGAGCATAGACTTTTGAGTGTCGATGGTATCTGTTCGCGACCTGTCTCTTTGCGAAGGCACCGGGCTTGGGGGTGCATTGGGCCTGGGATTGGCCGGCCTCGGCTTGGCCAGCCTTTCGGTTGTGCCAACCGCGAGGCCCAGATTGCTTAGGATCACGGCTGAGGGAGCATCATCAGTAATTTCATGCGGAAAGGTGGCAAGGAGGGAAGTCTTTAGTGGATTCGATCAGAGTCAGAAACTTCAATCTACTATTTCTCCGCAGGGCGGCCTCTGTTGTCCGCTGCGCGTACGATGCCTCGCAGGCCCGATTTGGGCGGCAGTAGCTTTTGTATGAAGGCTCTTCCGTGTCCTTGTCGGCTGCTCTTCTGCCATTCGCATCAAGCATCGTCAAGCCAAAACGCCCGGAACGCTCGGGGTTGTTCTCTCGTTTGGCAGTGCGTATTTGACTCTCTGTCGATTTGCATCTCTTGTTTGTATGGATTTGTCTCTTTGTGCCTGTCCGTTTCTGTTGGTTTTCATTCATTTGTCTCTCTGTCTGCGTCTGTGTGTTTTTCGAATCCCCCCTGATTAGCAGATTCCCTCAAGCACCTATTGCCTGCTCTAAGCTCTGTGGCTACCAGGGGCATGACTTGCATTTTGGTGTCAGCTGTTTTTGTTCGGTTTGTGTACTTTCTTTTGTGTATTAAACCGCTAGCTGCAAGGGCGAAAACGCAGCCACAAACTCGAAAACCTACAGTCTAGTAGTCTAGTCATAGTCTCCGAACCCGGGCACCGTAAGGAGTAGATTCGAAGGCACCTACCGTCAGTACCAAACGGTAAACCCTACCTGAAACCCGAAGCCAGACCACCTCCAAGCTTTTACCCAAGCTCGAAACCCTGAAGCCCCAAACAACAGCTAGTACTTCGCCAAACGCGAAAAGCTGTAAAGCCGACATCAACGGAAGCTGCGCTAGACTGACCCCATCCCCACGCCGTGAACCATAAGGCCGAAGCCGTAAGCTGGAACGCGAAACCCCAAACCCTCAAGCCCCTTCGTCTGCGGTGTTGACCAAAGCTTTGGCCTTCACCCTTCTCCGAGGGCGTGAAATGTGACCTGCCAGGGATGCCCGAAATTCGCAATCTGCCAACTACTACACTACCCCTTCATTCAACAAACACAATAATAGATGAGTGGGTGCCCGGGAGCGCACGGGTCGCGTTGTCCACCAAGTCAATTGTGGAGAAGCGGGACTGTTTCCAAGCATGCGGCTGAGCACAGCCCGACGCACAAGCGACGCCAAGCCGGCCCTTCACCCGCACGCTGTCTTGCGTGGCTTGGCGGGCCGTTTGCTGGCTTCGCAACGCTGTCTCTGGGGCTATGGCGTTCACCAGGGAGAAATTCATGTGGAGGGGACGATAATGCATGCGGAGCCCTCGAAGAAGCCAGGAGCTTAGGCATGGCTTCTTATTGGCGGACTCCCCTACCACAGGTGAACCAAGACGCGGCCATCATATTCACCACTCACAAAACCTGTTTGAGGCCACCCCACATCAAAGACTTTTGTTTGCGATCCCTTCATTAAGGTAAAGTCTCCGCGAGGTTCACGGCAACTGTTTGCATCATAATGTGCAGACAAGCGCCAGACTCGCAGGAAATTGGTGCCTGCGACCCGCTGCTCTTCTGGGACCCCGTGGGTGTGCTTGCTGCAAAGGAGTCGAAACGGATTGTTGTCGCTGTGATGTTGTGGTCGGATTGGTGTTTCACGTGCCGAGGCTACTGCCAGGACGGTTGCACCAAGGAGGACTTCGACCGGCGCAGGGCCGTGGAGCTGAAGCACGGGCGTTTGTGCATGGTTGCGACCATCGGCATGGTGTGGCCTGACATTTTTGGGAAGTTCGACGGCTACTTGTCCCCATCGCAGAATCTGAAGTTTGCCGATGTGCCCTCGGGAATCGCAGCCGTGACGAAGGTTCCTTTGGAGGGTTGGTTGCAGATTCTCTTGGTGGCCGGCCTCATCGAGACCCAGCTCCTGAAGGACCAGTCCTTCGGAGGCTTCGGCTATGCCAAGTACGGCGCCGAGCCCGGCAACTTCGGCACTGGCTACTGGGGCAGGAAGATCCAGGACCCTGCCGAGCGGAAGCTCAAACTGACCACCGAGCTGAACAACGGCAGGCTTGCGATGATTGCCATGTCCGGCATGCTGATCCAGAACGGCCTCACTGGCCAGTCCCCAATTGAGCAGCTCACCGCTGGCCACATCTCGCCCTTCAACGATGGCCAGGGCTTCTTCGCCTTCGACCCTTCCGCGGAGCTTGGTGCCTGCCCTCCCCTGGGCTACTGGGATCCCTTTGGCATGATGGCCTTTCAGGATGAGGAGAAGTTCCGCCGCAACCGCGAGCTGGAGCTTAAGCACGGAAGGATTTGCATGGTGGCCACCATTGGGATGATCGTGCCAGACCTGTTCGGCCGCTTCGGTGGTTATCTCTCACCATCCATGGATCTCAAATTCTCGGATATCCCCTGCACCATCGAGGCAATCTACAAGGTCCCCACCTTCGGCTGGTTGCAGATCTTTGCTCTTGCAGGCGCAATCGAGGCCAAGAATCAGGCCTTCCCGGAGAACTACGGCTACCCTCCATTCTGGGGCCGCATCAACACCCTTGAACCCGAGGAGAAGCAGAAGAAGCTTCTGGCAGAGATCAACAACGGGCGTTTGGCTATGGTTGCCATGGCCGCCATCGTGGCACAGAACGGGGCCACAGGCCAGTCTCTTGTGGAGCAGTTCACCACGGGCAACCTGAACCCTTTTGTCGGCGGCTACGCACAGCCGGAAGGGGGGGCAAAAGACCGAGTCGCACTCAGGGCCGAGTTTGGCTCTGGTGCTGGCAAGTCCACGGCCAT